CTAGGAAAGCGGGAGAAATACCTTATAACTCTGCAAATACTGCATCCAAATTTACTAAAGGCATAAAATCCTTAACCGAAAGATAAGAACAACATAAATCAATAATTTTTAAAGCAAAAAATGCACAATATACAAACATATAAGAGTAAAGAAACTGAGATCACTGAGTCGGGTAACAGTGAACGTTTGGTGCGGCCGATTTCAACCAAAATACGAGGTGCACATCTACATGTTATAGTAGTCCTATATACAAAATTTCAATGTTCTGAGACTACTCGTTTTTGAGTTATGCGAGGTACGTACGTACGCCACGAAAAATTCTCTTTAGAATTAATTTTAAATCAGTTTTATAATTTTTTTGGGGGGAAAAGAGTCTTTTATTCTGTCCTAACGTACAGATATCACGAAAAAACATCGTTAAATTGAATTCGATAACAATCAAAATGGATATTTCTTTGAAATATGATGCCTGAAACTTTTCGCGATTACAATACATCCTTTTTACTTCGTACAAGGAAGTGATAAATCATTTCTTCAACAAAAACAACAGATAAATTGAAAATATAGTTTCTAGTTCATTTTCAATCCTCAGTTATTAAACAAAGATTTCATGCAGTGTAATTAATATTCATATGTAACCAATAAAAATTGGTTGGTATCGGTACATCCTCGCGTAGATAACGAAAAAGAGGTTACAACTATAATCTGCATGAAATATTTCTATAAAAATTTACAGCGTCAGCTAAATTAATAATGTTTTCATGTATTTTTGCCTCTTTATCTTTTTTTGAATCACTTCCTGTTTGTGCTTCTCAAGTTCCAATGTAAAAGAAATTCTTTATCAAATGTGTTATTTGGAATCGCTTTCAAATTTCATACATACTATTGTACTATTTTATAGACGTGCCACTTTATGTATCAAAATATTAAAATTTAAAACATCTTTCACATTTACTGAAATTTAACAGAATATTTAAATTTTCCTTAGCAGAAAAGTTACTTAAGCAAATGTTTCCGGCCATAATTATCCCAACTGAGGACGAATCCTAAATTTTCTTAAATTCGAATCCCAAAAATTTGGTTGCAAGGATAATAACAATAAAACTCTTCGAAATTCAGATTAAATTAGTACTACTTCTAAAAATATACAGACAGAAGACTTCGAAATTCCGCCTTACGCTGAAAGAGGCGTTTTTTAACGTTTACACTTTGCGTATTAAATATCATGTTCTTCGCACTTGCACCATAAAATTCAATTCAACAGCAATATCACAAAATATTTAGCACAGCAATATCTTTAGAATTTCCGATACACAGTCTCGCGTACTGGAGATAAATTTTTTTTTTCTCCGTACAGTGTTGCCATTGCTCGCTTTCAAATCGTTGAGTTTCTTAAGAAAAAGAATTCTTTGATGTTTGAAAAGTATGAAATGGATAATAAAATAAATTTCAAATCCAGGCTTCGAGATGCGCATATTCGAATGCAGGACTATTCAAAATTTCAGGCAGCTATTCAAAATTTGTTCTCTCTAGTACCGTTTTTTTCACTGTGCGAGAAACATACATATATTTATGCAAATTCTTCATTATTGAATTTCTTATGCAGGGCTGTAATATTTGGTGGCAACAATTTGAAAAGTGAACCGACATTCATAGCGAGCCGACAAAAAATGCCAAAACGAAATTAATAACCCTTCTGGGCAAATTGGCCCTTTGGGCTAATAATAAGAAGGGAAAAAAAAAGTAGCTTTTACTTAATATTTGAAAGTTTTTAATGGAAGCGAAATTTTAAATCTTCACTTTATAAGAAATAAATTTTAGAACACAGCTTTTAAAAATACTCTTGTTCGTTTATAATACAAGCAAACAGAAGATGATTATTTTCAGAACAGTAAACATAAGTACTCTGATTTATCTGAAAAAATTAAGATTATAGCACTCAAGGGCGCCCTGGCGTGGTACTTGGTGATGCAGATCCACTGAAATTGTAACATCGCACTCTAATTTAATGAATGCTACTGACAGATGTCAATAACATCAATGCTAAGAAAGTTTTGAATTAAAAAATTTAAGCATTTTTTACTTCCTTGTACGAAGTAAAAAGGAAGTATTGTAATCGCGAAAAGTTTCAGGCAGCATATTTCAACGAAAATATCCATTTTGACGCTATCGAATGCATTTAGCTAGTTTTGCTCATATCTGTACGTAGGACAGAATAAATACTCTTTTCCTCAAAAAAATTATAAACTGCTTTTAAATCTGAAGAATTTTCGTGGCTTCGTACAAAGTACGTATCTCGCCTAACTCAAAACGAGTAGCCTCAGACGTTGAAATTTTGTATATAAGAACTGCTAAAACGTAGATGTGCACTCGTATTTGGTTGAATCGGCAGCACCAAAGTATATAAATATATTTTATATATATCCACTCTGTTACCCGGCTCGTGATCTCAGTTTCTTACTCTTATATGTTGTAAATTGTACATTTTTTGCTTTAAAATGAATGAATTATGTGTTTTTATCTCCGGGTAAGGATTTTATGCCTTTAGTAAATCTGTATGCAATATTTTTTGAATTCTCAGCATTTTAAAGTTGTTTAATTGCCGCTAAGCCTGTTTTTTAATAGCGGCCATTGTGTTTACTTTGAACAGGAGACTAGTGGATTTGTTGCAATCTAGAGAAACTTAGCTCAACAACAAAGATAACGCATTCATTTATTTTGCCAATTAAATCATGCTTAAATCTTTCTGGAATTTTTCGAAGAAATAAGCGTTTGAGATTTACTTCGTAATTTTTAATAGATATTTGAGTTTTCTGATTTTTGCCTCTCGCGAAGTGAGAACAGAATTATTAATGAGAAAACGCACTCGTTGGAAAACTGCTTCTGTTTGTGTTTTTTGATAATTTCTTTTATACATCGTTCTACGTTATTTATATTTTAGAAACATGTGGCAATGATTAGATATTCTTTAAATGATATACATTTTGTGCATTCTGATTATAATATGATGAAATATAATACTGTAAGTAACCTAGCCAAGTGTCGCTATGGTAAAACAAGTGAATTTAAAGAATGCATTTATTCTTAGTGTTTATGCGCTGTCGGCGAGTAGGTTTAATTCAATCTAATAAGTTTAAAAAAGCAGAAAAAATGCGTATAATTTAATATTCCGTACAAGGAAGTCATGTGGTGTATACATCAGATTTTTTACATTGAACTCTAATTACAAAAAGTACTGGAAGAAATCTCGGATCTTTCACGAGATTCTTTGGATTCGAGTATTCCATTCCTAATATCAAACCCATAATCGATTCCGAGTTAAACGGATCTGCATTTTTTGACTTTAAAAATATTGCATAAATTCTCTTGAACTGCGTAAGGTGTTTATTTTTAACTATGGTAGCATAACATCCTTCTAATGAAATCACTCAATTCTTACTTCGTTTTCGTCAGATTTCGTAGCAAGATATAAGAGAAAGAAGATAAAAATAAGTTGTTTACAACAGAAAAGTAACATCTGCTAATTCAACCAATGAGAATTACTCGAACAGAAATTCTTCAGTTTCCATTACATAAGGTTACATCTAATTCAGTCCATTATTTTCTAACTTATCTAGTCTATTATTATTATGTCCAGCTCTTATTTTCAAGGCGATTAATTTAAAAGTTTAAACTCAAGTAGTTTTTGGTAAATCTTTTTTTTAGTGGATGTATGAAGACTTTTATGATTGTATATAACTTGATAAACTTCATGGAGGATTTATGCTATGTAGGGCACAGCAACTAGCAACATAACGTAAAGAATATTATGGTGACGTGAAAAGAGGAATGATGCGATTGTCGATGTTTCCAAACTTGAAATGAAAAATTTTCAATCTCCATACTTTATATTTTTAATGAATAGAACAACAGAAAGACAAAACATGCATGTAGTAACTTTACGTGACTGTGAAATAACACGTATAATGTGGACAGGCATCAATGAACCTTGAAAATAATTCTAAATGTCATTTTACTGCTTGAATGCAGTGTTCGAAGCAATGCGGGAATGCTTTCATCACACATCTCAACATGTCCTCTGAAACTGTGCGGGAGTACAGCCATATTTGTGCTTGATGTTACATTCTTCCGCTAGAATCAAATAGTACACAAAAACTATTTTGCCCTCACTGCTGCTGATTTTCACAATTCCAACGTAATATTACTGAGCGTCCGTGAAGGAACTTCTTCTGATGAAGACTTTCTACTGTCGTATTCCACACCTGCACCGTCCAATGCGTTCTATGATATATTAAAACCTAAATCCTAGCTCTCCATGCATGTAGGCTATGCCACATACGTCCTAATGCATTTTGACAGTGTTGCCAATCAGATTGGCGAGATTAAATATGTGATACTCTAAAGTTAAGAGAAATTCCTAACAGAAAGGTTTAACTGCAGCTCCAAAGAGATTCCATACTCTCATGGCCTAATGTGCGACCAGAAATATAAAACATAACAGGGCTGACAGTCACTACCCGGCTTATAAAGTAATGGGTTTAGGTATTTATGTTTGGATTTTTCAATATTTCCTGTTCTGTTTCTATCTGTTCAGTGTTATGCAAATTTTATTTTACGTCACTGAACTGAATTGTGGTGCTGATGCAAAATAGTTAAGATCTTTCACGAACGCTCGAAACTTCAGTTTTTTTAAGCGGCTGGAATTTTAGCTACGTATATGTTTCTTCTGAGGTGTGCTTTCATGAAGTATGTAATTAAGGAGCTTAGCAACGCAGAATTTTCGAGTCTGTGAGTTCGTTTTCGGCTTGGTGAGCTGCCATTCTTCTACCTACGTGACGTTTGCAAAGAAAAATGTAAATGAATTTCTGTCAGGATTTACAAGTCAGTGATTTACATAAATTCTACTTACGTTTCAGACAGCAGCTCATATACACTCAACTAATATTAACTACGAAAACAGACACGTTTGAAAAACTGGTAAAATGAAGTGAAACATAAAGTGATGGTTTAAAAAATCTTTTTAATGACATAAATTTACAAAATGCATAAAATATAGATAGGTATATAAAATTACGAAATGTTCAAAAATGTACAAAATATAAAATATGCAATGAGTATTCAGCAAAACATGAAATACCTACACTTCAGCATACATATACACGCACATCGATGAAAATATGAAAACTTTCAATAGACAATACGATACAGAACCCGATAAGTCAATGTGGTAATTTTCACTATGGCAAGCTATTTGAAAAAAAAGTTCGATTTTGCAAAGTAATTTAAAACTTGTGTCCAAATAATAAGAATAAAATTATAAAAAGTAATCAATTAGTATTATATCATGCTATTTAAAGATACTTGGATAATAATTTCCCTTTAACATAAACAAGACTAAACAGTATGTGTATAGTAAAAATGTTGTTTCCGAATAGAAAATTACCGTCTAAAATAATAGCATACTACATTAAAAATACATAATTTTATAAACGGTTCTTAGGGCAGCAATTTACAGCGTAACAAAATGGCAAAATTCGTGGATTAATCGTATGTTAAATCACCAGGACTAGCTACGTAGCAATAAAAGAAACAGCACATAAGTAATATTATAATTACAAAACTTAAGTAATATATAAGTAGAGTTATACATTTTTAACCAATAAAATTCTGATAACATAATCAGCATGGTTATTTGAGATCATGATTTAAGTTAAAGTGAATGATGATTAGATACATATACAATTAATGCTTTTAAAAATAATTAATTAAATTTGAATATACTGCTACACAGACTTTACTAAGAGGAAAGTTTTGAAATTTAGAGAATTATTCTGAATTAAAGCCGTTTGTCAGTGTTGAAAGGCAACAGAAGTCTGCTTTTATGGGACGATGAGCCTTTTTAATTCCAGAAGTCTATCAAAACTGAGGGATAACAATTTAAATTCAAGATTATGGTTTATCATTTCGAATATAGATTATTTCTGTCATAAATTTTAGTCGAAGTTAGTACTACAGTTGCGAAAACATATCAATACAAAAAATATATTAAATACGAAAAATAACATTCAAACGGAAATTAAAAAATAATAGGAAATTTTGATATTCCCAAAATCAGAAAATATCCTAAAATTCGTGAAAGTAGTCACGAAGATTTGCCTTGCGGTAAAGTTACTACCCTAAAATTTCCGAACATCATCTTCCGTAAAATCCTAAATACTCTTCTAATGGCATAATTTTTGGACACCACACACAGATGTTTCATCACAGACAGCTTTAGAACTGTTCTATATGAAAATACTATACGGATAAGAGCATCCTTGAAAGTTATATAAAATGGAACACACAAAAGGTTTCATGGCCAACAGAATGCTTAGATTCCCAGAATAACCCGAGAAATGCAGATGTCAGTACACTGCATTAACACGAAATTCTGCAATGCCATAATTTTTTGACGAGTTAAAAAATATAGGAACTTAAGATCTATTTTTATCAAAGTTTGCTCTCCTCCAGAATATTATCACTTGACGATATTTTGTTCTTTGAAGAAGATTCCGAAGCAGTCACAAAACCGTTGCGATGATCCGTCAGTTGAACTTCATCAGGTAGAGAAATAGTAGGAATCTGCAGTGCAAAAGAAGAAAATCATAAGATTATATTAAATGAAACTAAACATAGTGAATTACAATAACGGAGTCCAGTAACTAATAGAAAACATCTGCTGTATAGTCGTTAACATTAAAATCAGAGGTATATAGTCAAGTAGAGTTATGCTAACTCGCTAGTATTCTGGATAATAACAAGTACCGCTTGACTGACTTTACGTGCTATGTAAGGTATTTTACCTCTTAAGAACAAGCATTATCTGGGCCTCATTACCGTTTAGGTTCACAAAATCCAAGGTTCTAAAAGGTCTTCAAATATCCTATTATATGAAAAGTCTGATACCCCTGAAAATAATAACTAACTCCGATACGTCCGATACCCCATAAAATAAAAACTGGGATCTATATACATCGGTCATATGTAACGGCCGTCCAGGTGTATCTGAAGGGCTCGGGTTCAGTCTACCTGAGGAAAGGATTAACCACTATCTAATTATAAATACAGAGTAGACATAATTTAGTTGGGCAAAAAGAATGGTTTATTATGCGAAGTTATATGTCAAGCATGACAGCATACATGAATTGAGATAGTGAAACACGTCAAAATTACCTTTCTTACAAATATTCGATGCAGTTGCATTTTATTACTCTGCAAATGTTCCATTGGTAAATCAGTTCTTGCTTATGAACATGTCCACATTTCAATTCATGACCGGATTTCGGATGCGGCAGACTGTAAACCTAAAATTGCACTAAAGTAAAAAGTATCCTGTGGAAGTGACGGAGTGCGCCACCTCTTTGGGAAATGAAACGTCCATGCATTATTTCCATTAGTATTGGTAAATATTGATATATCTGAAGCATGTCCATGTATACAATTCCTGCAACCATTTTTCAACAATGAATGGGAAAAAGCAATACGATAATTTACGGCACAAAACACATTTTCCGTGGTACTATCCTTTCATTGTCGAAGGTGGTATCAGGATTTTTTGATGCTCAAATTCTGACATTTTAACTATTCACTATCATTAAAATGAAAAGTTGCCTCGACATCGAAAATAACCCCAGTCAGAAATCATCATCCCTTACCATATGCTCTAACATATCAGTGCAAATATATTCTATCTTCTTGAGATCGATGGGCTTCAGTGCTGGAAGAATTTAGAATTTGTAAGACCTGAAGATCAGAAATTCTCTCAGGAATTTTTTAACTCTTTATTTTGGAATTTCCAGCTCTAAACTATCTCGTGCTGTCGATTTTCTTGGACTTCTCACAAATTAATTCTCTCACTACATCAACAGTCTTTTCTGGTGTTTGGATTCCTCGCTAAATCTGTGAGTCACATTTCCTATTTCGATAAATCAATTACACTCTGCTGCAATGACTTTCATTCTGTTTCTTCTTAGCCGTCTTGCGTGAAGGTGAGCTGTGACTTTGCTCATTCGAATCTTTGCCATGACTACTGTCTGTCTACGGTAAGAACAGCTCCCGCCACGGTGTCTGGCGAGTGGCGGTCGCTATAGCAACAGGGCTAGTATATTTCAAATAGGGACGAACCAAGGGTTGCTTTATTGTTATTTTGTTTTTGGCGACTGTTGGCTTAAGGGAAGTTTATCATTCGTCTTCTCGGCTTCATTCCAGCTGCACGCATCTTTTCTTAAGCCTTATATTATTACTATTAGCTCTTTTTATTCTCGTTGTTATATCTTTTGTACTAGGTATTTGCTTCAAATTTGCTTCTATTTAGCTTTGATTTTCGTATAATGCTTTGTTAATCACCAAATTTTTAAAATGCCCTTCCAGTTTTAAGAAAGGTCAACCTTTAAAGTCTTCAGGCACGTCAAATTGTGTATAATGTCGCAGAATTTTGCGCTTCTGAAGCTTCGGTGAACTCTTTAGTAGTTCCTCTTCCTTAAGTTTGTCCTACTGGAATATCAGAGTATACAATTAAAAAAATTAAGCACAAAGTATCAGCAATGGGTGAAAATAAACTTCTGAATACACTTGGAAAGAAAACATAAAAGCCCTGCTAATCATAAGTGTGAAACTTTACGATTTTGACAAATGCGTTCGTTCTACGGCAGACAATACAAGACTTTTACATCAAAGAAAAGAAAGTGCCATCTGTGCGGAAATTACTGCCTGTCTTGAGGCAAAAAAAATTAGACTTCCGTGGCAAAAAGACTCTTTGTGCAAAGTTTTGTGTTCAATGAATTTTCGTTGGAATGCGTAGAAAAAAAAAAAAAAAAAAAAAAAAAAATCTCATCGAAAAGACCTCACATTGTATTTTGGAGGAACAATTATTTACGCGAAATGAAAACTCAGAGCAAGTGAACGAACGCCACATCGTTTACATCGATGAAACATGGATTGACAGCAATTTAACTTTAAGAAGAAATTTTGGCAACATGATACGGTTTTGGGCGCACAGCCAGTTTCCCTTAGCAAGCCCTCCATGGAGGCATCCCTCCTCTTAGGCCTGGAGGCTTTCCGTAATCATATAAACCAACCCAAACCACTGGTAATTAAGGAAAAAGCAGTTTTGATTTTAATTCACCTTCGCTTCCTTCCGCCATTAAATTAACCAGCTTTTGGTTTAGTTTAAAGGTATGAGAAAAGAAGAAATGTTCGCAAAAAGTATTTATTGAGAGCATGGGTATGTAAAAAAAATGCTTTTACTTTCAAGATGATTCTATATACATTTAATGATGAAATTTTTAGTCATTATTAAAGCACAAGCAATAAATTAACAGAAAATTTTGAAATAAAAACATAGCAGAATGTCATTTAAAGACTGATGAAATTGCTTTGAATGTTCACGGTAGATCAGCTAGAGGGAGAACTATAAAAATTAAATTTATTTTATATTATGAAGTGCGTCTATACTATATTACAGAGAATGGGGCAATCAAGTAGATTTCTTGAGATGTCATCCTATGATTTTGCAAGCAAACAAATAAACAAAAAAGAAGCAAAATTAATAGCACAATTTTTTTTTTAAATGTCGAAAATTAAAATTTTTCTTGAAAAATAAGCACAGGATTTTCAAATTTATTTCCCTACAAGTTATTCTGATATATTTTTACTCATTGTACATCTAGAGGGATTGGAAAATTCAGCGACTTGTACCTCACATGGCAAAATGAAAGACCGTTTCTTGACTGCAAAAGCTTTATCTACGCCATCGAAATTTCATCTTTTCAGGAAATTGGATGTCGGGGTCGACGCACAAAGGGTCAACGAGCATTTTACTTGAAAATTAAAACAAAAATGTGTATATCGCCAAATCATCTTTAAATGTGCCAAGGTGGCAAACTCAGAAGTAAGTCTTCAAGACACCCCTACGAAAAATGGGTTAGGGCTCGTTTCTACGGCAACAGACAGCTGCAGACAAACTGGCGAGAGCTGTTCTTACCATAGACAGACAGTACGTTGCAACTCCCCACGGGTATACGTGAAAGATCATCTTAGAAGTCATCTTAGTGCGGAATCGATATTGAACTATTGTTCAGAGTCGCTTTTGTTTGGAGTCGCTATGTTCGGAGTCGTTGAGAATGAAGATGTTATTCTTTTCGAAGACTCTCATTTAATGGACTCAGCTACAACTGCGTATCGCCGTTTACCATGGAGCACAGGATTCAAGCTCAAAAACGTGGTGGATTATGAAATTGGGATTCAAGCTCTCTACCTACTGGTTGAGGACCATGATTGTAATAAGAGAATACAGAGAACGCTGACTTCAGCTCCTGAAATTCAGAAAATGATGAAGAATTTAATTCCTACCCAGGAACAAATGGTGAAGCTATGGTATGAAGTTGCAAAGAGACAAGAACGATGTTGACACATTACGAGGCAAGCGTTCAAAACTTTTCTGGGTGGTCTCGAGGCACGCTTATTTCGTAAGCAACTGAAATCCCTCCCCGTTTTACCCATTCCAATGGATTGGTCTACCCCAAATGATGAAATTCCTAATAGCTCGTCTCACAGGAAAAATCTGTCCCAATCAGAAAAAAGTATATGAATAATTATACTAAAGATTTTACCTCACTGAGAAAAGTTGAAGAAGATTTTGTCTTCTCCTGTTATTCCTATTATTAACCTACTCTCTGCGTTAGGAACCGGAGAAAATATTGAAATTACTCCCGATAACCCTGAAAGTGCTGAAGTTTGCAATCCCCCTAACTCTAATCTGAATATTACACCACACGTGATGGTTAAAATACATGATGATCACCATAAGATTCTTAGCGAACTTGCTGAAAGCATGGAAGATAAATTTATAGGTAAATTTTATTCTGACTGTCTAAGAATTATTCCTGAACCTAAAAATAAAAAGAACTTAATTGTGGACAATCACAACCGTAAAAGTATTGGTTATTTCCTTGTGCAGCACAGAAATAATTGCCCAATAAAAATCGTTATCAAAGGACTGCCAATAAGCTGCCCAGCTGAGGAAATTTCAAACACACTCTCTACTCTTAATTTCCAAGTTCACAATGTTACTCGGAAATTTCAAAACCAAAGCATTGATTCCTGTCTTCTAAGTTTAAGTGGCTCGTATTACTAACGTTAACGATTCTCTGCATGAAATTTGGCAAACATCACCTCTCAACTCAAGACAAATTATAAAAAATGATTCCCCGACCCCCTGTAACTGCATTGGACATGTAAGTTCTTATCGTGGGTGCGAATATCTCTGAGTGCTATGACAACAGAGATTGGAAGTATGAAAGATGATTATGACACTCACACCATATTTTGAAGAACCACGTTTCAATGTTCACTTCGTTTTTGACAACTGTATCGCTCGACAACGCAGAAAGCTGTATAATCCGTAAAATAAGGGTCTATCAAACCACCAATTCAATGAAGATACCAGTTTCACGATAAAGTATTTTTATAGCACACGTCTTTTTACCTCCGCCCCTATTCAACTATTCTTTTTGAAGAAGTTCTTCACTGGCGCATCTCTGCGAAGTCCGTATTGAGAGAAATTCGCTTACTTGGCGTTTGTT